CACCGCCGCATCTTTTCAGGCCGCCAGTGGACCCTGGGAAATCCATTAAACCGCCACTCGAGCCAGACATCGTTAGATCCTCCTGCTCCTCACTTTCATCCACATTCCAACTCGTTCCCAATTGTGTCCTCTCGTTTCTGAATCATTCCAGGCGTTAAAGAGGCATTCAATTGTCGCAGGATGTGTTTCAGATAGGTTGGAGATAGTGGAGCTAGATGATGAACGCCTTAATGAATGCTAGAAACAAGAATCCGGGCTATTGATGGTTCTGTTGCAGATCCAAGATGCGGATGTAGACTCTTGGTAAGCTAGATTTAATATGGATCAGTTGCAGATCTAAGATTTTGGATTAATTGTAAGTCTTCATAGGCTCCTAGTGGATCAGTAGATCTAGATTCTTGTGGTCCAATTGCAGATCTTGACTTTTAAAGGACTGATTGTTCTAGACTTCTAGTGATCCGATTGCAGATCTGGGCTTTTAATGATCCAATTGCAGATCTAAGCTTCTAATGATCTATTGCAGATCTTGACTTTTAAAGGATTAATTGCAGATCTGGGCTTTTAATGATCCAATTGCAGATCTGGACTTCTAATGATCTATTGCAGATCTGGACTTTTAAACAATTAATTGTAGTTTTAGACTCCTAGTGATCCAATTGCAGATCTGGGCTTTTAATAATCTTATTGTAAATCTGGATTTTTAAAGGATTAATTTCAGATCTGGGCTCCCAGTGATCCAATTGCAGATCTGGACTTTTAAACAATTAATTGTAGTTTTAAACTCCTGGTGATCCAATTGCAGATGAGCTTTTAATAATTTTATTGTAAATCTGGATTTTTAAAGAACTAATTGCAGATCTGAGCCCTCAGTAATCCAATTGCAAATTTGGATTTTTCAAGGATTAATTGCAATTCTAGACTTTTAGTGATTCAATTGCAGATCTGGGCTCCTAATGATCCAATTGCAGATCTGGACTTTTAAAGGACTAATTACAGATCTGGATTTTTATTGCTTTAGTTGTTAATTTGAACTTTTTTGATGAGTACGGATGGTGAGTAAAGTGAGGGAGATGTTGAGTATAAAATTAGTTAGAGTGGTTGTGTAGTTTTTGGAAGTAACATAATTTAGGCAAGTTGGGATTCAACCTAAAAATTCTTGAGGTTTCTTGAGTTTCTTGAGTGAATCCATTCTTGAGTTACATGGCTGTTGAATTATTTATCTTTTGAAGATTCATAGAACACTTCTAAAACTGATCACATAATCAATGAATCACATAAATTATATGATGTACATCTTGATTAAACATGGAAACACTTATTTTTGAATGTTCTACTGTAGATTCACTTCATCTTATGAATATTATGTTTCTTATTATTTAGCACTTCCACAATCACATATCCACAAAATCACTGAGTTGTTGGAATTCAATATACATTGCAATTTTGAAGATGATGAGATACCTGAGAGAGAGAGAGAGAAAGAGAGAGAGATAAAAAATGTAAAGTATTTTAATTTAATTATTAAAATACTGTAAAATCTTAAGTATTTACATTTATTTAGATCAATTTTCTATTTTCTATTCTAAGAATTGAAAATTCTATTTATTATTAAAATTATATATTGACAATTTGTAAACATTTTCCTAATTCGTTTGAGAAAAGCTATAATGTACTTTCTCTTTTTTTCTAACTCCACTACCTACGCTCATACTTATTATTTATCGGTATCCGCAATGAACTTCGTAATCGGAACTTTAACAATCTAACTTCTTCTTGGAAGCACTTCTTCCCTCTTAACGATCGAATTCTACGCAACTTACAAACTCTGGTACTTCATCTTACAACTAAACTACAGAGGCTACGACACTTATGCTCCTCCCAAGTACACAACAAACTCCCTTAATCAACTAGAAACCAAAGTTTGCACAATCGCTAAAACTCGATTCATCGTCCTCGATCAAGAATACGTGTCCAATTCCAATGAAATACTTTAAAAAAAAAAAATAAATAAATTCCCTAAATAAAAAGAAAATTCTGGAAAGAACTTGGATAATTCAACAATTTCCAAAAGCCAAAAAAAAAAAAAAAAGTAATCCATTCTCGTTAAGGAAACGTTTCAAACA